TCCAATTGTGAATATAAACCATCCAGAAATCCACTCAAACAAACCTAAAAAATTTCATCACAATCGGTAGAACCAGTTTCGAGTCTTAGCGAGACTAACGGACAGCAATCGATTTTTATATATAGAGATTTATGAAATTAGTTGTTAAAGAACAGAATAAGTATATAAACTAAACTAAATAAGTTTAAAAAAAGACATTTAGGCAAATTTCCCAATCCCAATGTTTCTACATGGAGACGATACCGACACCGCACCAATGTTCGCCACTAAAGTCGAGTTAGGAAAGGATTTACGTTGTCGGGAGCGCGCGGGACACATATGTGAGCCTGCCACACGGCTGCAGCTGCCTACCGCAGCCTAGCAAAACAGACAAAAGTTTTTTTTCGTACAACGCTCTTTAAACTTAAATTTAAACTGATCGGCCGATTTATTCCTTACAGTGTTTGTGGGATATCGATTCAGACCGTATTTTATCGTTAAACTTGTTTTGTGCATTTTGTTGAGCTTGTTTATAGCTTTTAGTTTCATACTTCAACTTAAAAAACTGTTATGACGTGTTTTGGTCCTATAGACCATTTTGATCCAAAATTCTAAATGATAGTTCTTTCGTACTACTTTATCTGCCGAGCCGTGGTAGCTCACGGACTAAGCGCTCGCTGTAAATTTCACAGTACATAAGCAACCTGGATTCGATACACGCAAAAATTTTGTTAATAGCAATGCGCTGATTTAGCAAGTCCTCGGCGATGAAAGAAAACATCGTGAGGAAACCTGCATGTCTAAGAAATTAAAAAATTAAAAAATATTTCGAAGACGTGTGAAGTTCGCCAACACGCATTGAGGCAGCGCAGCGGACATTTTCTTGTCTTAAAACCCTCTCAGAAATGAGAGGACGCCTGTGCTCAGCAGTAGGACAGGAGTATATAGGCTGTAACTTAACTCCTTTATCTTACATGTTTTTACTCCATGTTTTGCCTACACAACTCATAATTTGCCTAATTAAATAAAGTAGAATATATACGGACGTCATAACACGTGCCCTCGATAAAAGTCAAGAAGTATTATGGTACGACTTACGTATAATAATGCAATAACCAGATAATACCCGATGAGGGTACGGGTCAGATTTAGATGCAGTTACAAAGGCAACCGAACCCGCCATTACGCGGATAGAGCGACCGACTGCGCAAAAAGCGGACCAAATTCTATTACCGCCCGATATGCAACAAAGACCGCCGACCCGCCCGCTTCAAATTGCTTTAGGCTGTAGTCGCGATATTTACTCTCGCATATTTGAATAAATACAATCCAATTTTGTACTGACTTTTTAATGGGCACCAAACTTTTTAACGCTGTTATGGTTCCACAACTGTACAATATTTCGTGTCCATGTGAAATGGAGCGTGTCTGTAGCGTTGTGATATTAGTGACAAACAAGCGTCGTGCAGAGCTTGTCTGGGCCATAAATTGCGACCGCTACAAATTAAATTAGGTAATATAGGTGACGAGTCGGACAAGCGGCGGGGCGGCGGTGCTCGACATGGAATGGGTGTGTCCTGCTCATTCAGACCGAAGCTGCATACACACAACATCCAACTTTTTGTTATCATTTAAATTGCTCAAGTTCTTAATCATATTTTTTGCAAGGTAGACACTAGTTTTAATGCTGCAACATGATTAAAAGCCATTGTTTATATTCTTTAATTAAAACTTTGTTTTCTTTGCCACAATATGCATTTGATATACGAGTATTATAACCTAGTACAAACTATGATTCATGTAACTATCTATCATTCATTCATTACATCCCCCATCAAAGTCCAGTGTTGAACATGGACTATGACTTGCATCAATACCCCATAATTTGATAAGCCATCATAATACATAATATCTTAATTTATCAGGAACGTTTTGTTTTCTGTTGGCATAATAATAAGATTTTTTTATATGATCCAGGTGACAAACGAGCACACATTCCACTTAATGGTAAGTGGTTGCTGTGGCCCATAGACATCTACATCTATCCTCAATTACGAATCAAAATGCAGCTGCGTTGTCACCCCTGAGGACTAAGATGCAATGCCTCATTTCCAGTAAAAAGGGTCTCCGGTTCTCTACATTCATCATACAAAATACAGCAGCGTTAAGCCGATCCATTCATTCTACAACTCTACCAGCAATATAGCATGGCTCTACCACGTAAAATAAGATAAGTAAGAATGTTACGTGCAATGACACTTTGGCAGCCTCTCATTTCATGGGTACCTTGTTTGGGGGTCGTGACGGCATCATAGCTGAACTGATAAGAGTCTCTGAGAGATATTTCTGTTATTTGCTGTGGAGACTATCGGTCTGTCGAGTCCACGCACTGTGAAGTTTCTAAAGGAACTGTACTCGCTCGCGACTGCTCGTCGCTGTTAGTGACAAGAGGACTGGTTCTTTTTTCGCTATAGCAATCCCACTATTACTGAGAAGTTTTCGTATTTTAAACTCCATAACCCTCTCAGAAATAAATGAAACCTTGTGTCCAACAATGGGACGTATGTAGGATCTTACTTTACTTTTTATGTTATAATAACCAAGTTAAAGTGAAAAAACGAACGCATAGCCATTGCCATTGCCTGATGTTAAGTGGCTACTGTAGCCATAGCATGCCTCTTTGCCAATAAAAGCGTCTCCGATTCCCGTCGTTAACCTTAAGGTGCACAAAATCATTTTGTACAACATTATTACGTTGATATTTTACGTAGTATTCTGTGAGAGTGTTGCCCTTCCCCTTTTTTATTTTATAGATGATGGGGCAAACGAGCATGCGGCTCACCCAGTTCCCCTGAGGAATTTCCAGTTTATTGAGTGTTCAATGTCGAGTTTATATTGCTTTAACATTTTCAATACTAAATTAACAATAATATCAAATTGATTAATTATCACATTTCAATAACGTCGAAATTTTTCGTTAAACAATAAGAGAATAAATAAATTAATATTAACAGTTAATTAATGATGTTATTGTGCAATAAACAAAAGAGGGCGTGCCGGTCACAGGCGGGCGGCATCAAAACGTCAGTTGCAACGTGTGAGCCGCAGATTTGTGGTCAATTCACACGGCTGAAGTCCAAAGCACTTACCCTATTCGACGTCTTTGCCTTCACTGCTATTATTATTGCACCGTGAATATAGAAGTGTCTTGACTAATATAACGTCTCGTACTACCACCATTCATTAATAAATCGTTAAGACTTAGTGAAATAAATTAAATTCAACTTTTTTACATTTTTAAATGCTTAAATAAATTATGAGCGCGTATCCCAACGGATCAGTTTGCTGATGTAGCAATAGGACGGCGAAGTTGCTCGAAGAACTGACAACTGATGGGGAAGAAAAGAAACCGTGTTTTGTGGCATTTTTTGGGGGACGCCTATGTTCAGTATGTTCGTTATAATAAGTTTAAAAAATTATATTGATACCAAAGTGATAAGTACATGCATGTAGTGCTTACATGTTACGGAAATTACCACTACTAATTACTTGCACTAAATGCGTACTTTTCAATTATCAAATTGTAAGTTATTCATAGGATAGAATACAATATAAACAAATGAAAAATTACAGTTGTAGGAATAAAATTGTTTCACTTTTATATTCGGTCAGGTTATAATTTGTTTGATAGATACTATTGTCTGTTGATTGAAAAATCAACACTGAAATAAACAAAGTGAATTACGTTAGATTTGTTGCCGAATCAAAATATTGTTGAAATATACATAACTCCACATACATATTGTTCGCTCGAAACATGTCGAAACAACATATTTCACCACGATATCGGGCGGACAATGGTCGGAAGTGGTGGAATATAAATGATCGGAAAGACCTAAAGCTATCGAATAAAGGGCGATGAAATAATAACCGGATATAACTTATGACAACTTAATTTATTCGAGTATACAGGGTTTATTTATTTTAAAATTGATGTTATATTCGATATTTTAGAAACATATTAACTATTATTCAAAGATAACTTTAAGCATCTGTAATGCTATAATAAATAGTTTATATATTATATCCATAATATCAACGGTTGTCGGAACTGTGTTAATGATATAAACAATAAAAATGTCTTGTCAGTCATATTTTACACTCATAATCACATTATTTCGCAGGTTTCAGCTTGGTAATGCTTCAATGCCATCATTCTAGTGATTATTTTTTTATAAACGATAAAAACAGCCCTCAGTTATCCATTCCAAATAATATTCTCAATAACCTCCGATCATAAAATAAATAATAGTACAAGAACCTCGACGCAAAAAGATGGATGTTATAAGTTTGACCGCTATGTGTGTCTATCTGTGGCACCGTAGCTCTTAAACGGGTAAACCGATTTGGGTGTGGTTTTTTTTTTAAATTTAAAAGCAGGTTTTCTAGCGGTGGTTCTTAAATATGTTTAATCAAAATCGATTCAGCCGTTTCAAGTTCTTCGGCTGCTTTGTTTCGGGGGTTTTGAAAATTTTTCAATTTTAGTTATTCTTTATTGGACACTGCTGAACATGAGCATCTCCCACTGTAGGAAGAAGTTGTCATAATCGCCACACTTGGTAGTCGGATTGACATTCGCAGTACCAGACGTCTTGCACGCTTGAGGCTGCTGCCCGTCACTGGTCTGTATATTTTACAGCTGACTTATCGAGATATTATACCGTCATCTATTTTCTGTAATTTCCCATAAACACCTCTTACGATACCCACGGGATGAAATGAGGTGTTGATTATTTTACGCTGTCGTCACACGGCACGCTGCCACCACACCGCAATATGAATAAATATATAAATATGATAATAATGGCTAATTTCTAATTTCGTTAAAAAAAATTGAATTATGACAAATGATAAAACCAGTTCTGATATACTGTCGCTAATTCATGCAAATTGCTGTTCTAAATAGTTATAGTAATTATTAGCTGTTCATTGTATGCGATAACGTTGTAATTGTTGTGCAGGTGAGATGATAATAACGAACGACAAGTACCACATGACAGAGATCACAAGCTCGACGTACAGTGTACAAATGCGCCTTGTAATCCGAAATATACAGCGTAGTGACCTCGGCGGCTACAAATGCATCTCTAAGAATTCTATTGGTGACGCTGAAGGAAATATAAGATTATATGGTAAGTGAACTTGATAGTATTCGCGTGTAGTGGCGGGTAAGAATACTCACAACCTCGTGTCTTCCCGTGGGTGTCGTAAGATGTGACAGAGGGAAACTGAGGTGGAAGATGAGCAGCAGCATCTTTCTGATAACAGCAAATAACAATAATAAAACTGCGGTTGAAAAACCCCCTCGCCAAGCGTAGCAACTATTGCAAAATATCTTCCATGAATAAATAAAGTTACGAAGAGACGGCCCCCAGTCCCCGGCGGCCCCGCTATTCCTGGCTACGGTAGTGACCATAGTAACGGCGGGGCAGGGGTGCTAAGAATCTCCGGTGAAAGTTTGGTTGCCACCTAATACGACTCGACCTGGCAACATATAACGCACGCACCCTAAGGACGATCCTGTAGCTGGAAAAATGTAGTTGCACTGGAATATTATAAGGATTATCCGAGTTTCGAAGAGAAGGGGAGGACAGGCACACTGAACCTAAACGTTAAGTTGGAGAGGTCACGTCTAATGACGTCAACGCTCCGTCCCCCTCGTGCTCTAATCCAAAGTGCCGAAACCTTTCAGCTCGAGATACAGAACCGTTTTCAGTGCCTATAAGATTGCAATGCAGTGGATGATATAAATGACAAACTCGTGGAAACTGTTTTGCAAGACCCGCCGCAGAAGAACACAAAAACTCTCCGAACACACTCTTAATATCATGGCTGTTAGATAAGAAATGAAGCTGCAGTCTTCAGCAGATTTGACAGCATAAAGGCAACTTAACAGACAGATCTTATTGAAGAATTAATGAATTCGTAATGACTCCCGAAAACAGCAAGTAGACGTGGTTCAGAAGGGAAATCGGTCTGTAGTTCTTCAAGAGAGCGTTGTCACCTTTCTTGAAGAACAAGTAACATAACAAAACTCAAAACAAACATTTTTATTTAACAGTGGTAGAGCCACGCTACAACTTCTGCTATAGCATGAATGGGCCGGCTCGAACCGGGGCAGTACCACGACCTCATAGAATACCAACGTAAAGTAGAGGCTATGCTTCTGCGTTTCGCTTGGATAGTGCAGGTGGCCGGATTTGCAGTACCCATCGGTGGCAGATCTCAGCCTTGGTTTGGTCGCTCTTGTGAGACTGCATAACGCAGTAAGCAGGAGTGTTATCGGGCCTGGGCTGAGGCTTCATCGGCTCGGAATGTAAACACCAGCATGCTTAAAAGAAGTCTAAATTCGCCTCCAGATCCTTCAAAAGAGTTATTGCCAAGGCAAAGCCAGAGCACATAGGCAGAATTGGCGAGAAACTAGTTCGCCTCCCTTGGGGAACCCGTGCATTCTGGTCTCTCGCCAAGGCTGTCCAAGGGAATTTCTGTAAGCCATCACTACCATCTCTGCACAGGGAGGATGACTCACTGGCCCTAGCCGTAAAAGAGAAAGCCAACTTTTTGGGCTCCCTTTTTACGTCCAACTCTTGATGACCATGGGAACACACGGCCGACCATCCCGCGGTGTGAGTGCTCCATGCCGGATGTGCGGTTCTCACAGCACTCGGTTCGCAAAGCACTCCTCTCCCTGGACATCCACAAGTCGAGTGGGCCTGACGGAATCCCGCCAATTGTGCTAAGGACGTGTACTCCAGAGTTGGCACCGGTTCTAATGTATCTTTTTCGGTATTCCTACTCCCTAAGCTTTGTCCCGTATACATGGAAGACAGCTTTCGTGCACCCGAACCCTAAAAAGGAAACCGCTCTGATCCGTCCAATTACAAGTCTATCGCCATCTCATCAAAAAATGGAGTTCATTATTAACTGCCAGCTCATGCGGTACCTTGAGGAGCACCAGCTGATTAGTGACTGCAGTACGGTTTCTGTAGGGGTCGCTCAGCTGGTGATCTCCTTGTTTACCTAACACATAGATGGGCGCAGGCGATCGAGTGGCAAGGGGGAGGCACTGGCCGTTAATTTGGACATAGCGAAGGTTTCGATTGGGTCTGGCACAAAGCGCTTCTTTCGAAGCTTCCTTCCTATGGGCTTCCCCAGAACTTGTGCAATTGGATCACCAGTTTTCTGGATGATGCTCCATCAAGGTCGTGATAGACGGTGCGTGCTCCGATTAGAAGCCTATTAACGCTAGTGTTCCACAAGGCTGCGTGCTATCACCAACGCTGTTTCTTCTGCATATTAATGATATGTTACAAACCGGTAACATACATTGCTAATGTGTAAGTGCTGCAAATGACAGCACTGGTGATGCTCTATACACCGGCCGAGCCATTATTTGTCGGGAAAACGTCGCTGAGTACCGGAACAAACTTGTGTCTAAAGTCGAGACTTTGTTGAACAAAGTCTCGGACTGAGGGCGACTAAATCTAGTCCAGTTCAATCCCCAGAAGACAAAAAGTTGCGCATTTACCGCTAAAAGGAACCCCTTTGTCGTCTCTCCTCAGTTTCAAGGCACTCCCCTTATTGCCTCCGCCAGTATCGGAATCCTCGGCGTCGACATATCGAGTGACGACACACACACATGACGTATATATAGAAGAGAAGGCCAAATTTTCCTCTAAAAAGCTTGGCGTGCTCAGCAGAGCGGGACAGTATTTCATGCCGGCACACCATTTGCAACTTTACAAGGCGCAGGTTCGGCCTCACATGGAATACTGTTCCCATTTCTGGGGAGGGGCTCCCCAGTGCCAGCTCCTTCCATTTGACCGCATTCAGCGCAGAGCAGTTCGAATCGTCGACAACCGAATTCTTTCCAATCGGCTTGACTCACTGGTACTGCGTAGAGATGTTGCATTTCTTGGCGTATTTTATCGCATGTACCACGAGAAGTGCTCTGAGGAATTGTTCGGACTAATTTCAGCCCCTCAATTTTACCATCGCACATCGCGATACCTTTCATACCATCAGGATGATGGGCGATCCACCACTGTGCGATTTAGAAGATGTTTTCTTTCTTGCACAACTTCCCTGTGGAATCGATTACCACCAGCGATTTTTCCGGAAGGATACGACTTAGGGACATTCTAGAAAAGAGCCTACTCCTTTGTAAAAGGCCAGCAACGCATCTGCAATTCCCCTGGTGGTGCAGTTGTTCATGGGCGGCGGTAGTCACTTACAATCAGGTGAGCAGCATACTCGTTTGCCCCCTCTCCTATAAAAAAAGAGACGATCGAGCGGAACCATGACTCCAAAGTCTTTGCCAGAGATCTGTCGGCTAAAAGCCAACTGTCGAAGCTAAATACCGAGTATGGGAGCATTGTTTCCGGGATACCTGAGATTTTGAGTGAGATTGAGAGGTACTATTGGGTAGCTGTACACATCATCGTTGTAGCCACACGCAGGTGTAAGTAACGATCCAAGTTTTATCCTACACTATTCCGATAATGTTCTGGACATCAAACTCAGCGAGCTTAGAATGGCTCTCCAGCACCTTAAAAACCCTTCTGAAAGCTTCTCAAAGTGGGTGGGAAACCGGTACTTAAAGTCCTTCAGAAGCTCTTTAATTTCGTCTTCCATGGTGGTACAACTCCGGAGGTGTGGAGCAGTGCGGTGGTCTTGTTCTTCAAGAAAGGTGACAACGCTCTCTTGAAGAACTACAGACCGATTTCCCTTCTGAGCCGCGTCTACGTGCTGTTTTCGAGAGTCATTACGAATCGTCGCGCAGACTCGACGACATGCCGTCTCCCGAACAAGCATGTTTCCGAAAATGCTTTATTCCCATAGACCTTATACATACCCTTCGGCAAATTGTACAGAAGGCCGAGAAGTACAATTTGCCACTATGTCTTGAGTACGTGGACTATGAGAAAGCCTGTGATTCCGTTGAAATTTGGGCGGTGCTGGAGTCTCTTCAGCTGTGCCCAGTTGACCGTCGGTATATCGAAGTGCTGAAGTGTTTGTACAGTAGGGCTACAATGGCTATCCGAGTACATAACCAGAGCACGAAACCTGTCCAACTGCAAAGAGCCTCGAAGCTCTTCAGCGCTGCATTGGAAGTTGTTATCAAGCCACTGGACAGGAATGAATACGGTATTAACATCAATGGTGAGTACATCGCTCACCTTCGATTATCCGACGATGTAGTCCTTATGGCAGAATCGCTGGAGGATATAAGCCCTATGCTCAATGAGCTTAATAGTGCCTCCCAATGGATAGGTCTTAAGATGAACATGGACAAAACAAAGATCAAAACGTCCATACCTGAGACAAATAGTCCAACTACGTCAGTCCAACTTCGACCGAGAGGTCAATCGATGGATTCAACTCGGCTGGGCACCGTTCGACAAATTACGACACATTTTCTCGTCATATATACCTAAAAACCTGAAAACGAGACTGCACAACTAGTGCGTGTTGCCAGTGATGACTTATGGAACTGAGACATGGATGAAGCTCAAGGTCGCACAGCGAGCTCGGGATTTCTCTGCGTGATAAATTTAGAAATGAGGATATCCGCAGTAGAACCAGAGTGACCGAAATAGCCCAACGGATTAGTAAGCTAAAGTGACAATGGACCAGTCATATAGCTCGAAGAACCGACAACCGATGGGGAAGAAAGGTTCTCGAGTGGCAGCCTCGTACCGGTAGGCGAAGTGTAGGGTGACCCCCCAATAGATGGAGTGAGGACCTGGTAAGACATGCAGGAAATCGATGGATGCAGGTGGCTCAGGACTGTGCTTTGTAGCATTCCTAGGGGAGGCCTATCTTCAGCAGTGTACTTGTGAAGGGCTGTAATGATGATGACGATGATGATCTTGGTAGCGCTATGAGAGACTTCATTATCATATCATACCGTCTTGGATCGTTAAGAGACGAAAGCAGTTAAAAAAAATACAAAGGACAGTCGGTTTTTCCAATACACATTCGGAGCAAGTAAAACTCACTATGATAATTGAACCAGAATTAATTCCAAAAAAATGCAGGTGGCTCAAAAACATGCCCTGAAAACGTTCGGGCTGTTTGAATAATTTAAGCTCTTTTAAATTAATGTAAAGTAATAGAAAAAAATGTAATGTAATGTCTCCTAAAACGAAATCTTGTAACAATGGAAAATGGATACTTATTACTTTTTTATCATATACTTATTATAGAACAAGATGTATGAGAATTGTAGATCATAACGGACATAAATGAATAATAATTGACTTTTAAGAAATAAATTAATTTGAATTTGAATTAAGGTCTATTTAATTTCGTATATTCAGATATTGAAAAGTTTTGTTGAATAACAACAAAAAACAAAACAAAACAAGAACATTAATATTTATTACCTCGTTACATTTAACATTTTCAATACAGTGATTGGTGTAAACATAGGATGTAAAGGTATAACACGTCGAAGAAAGTAATTACAACCTTCCTTATTTGAAAAGTTTTTCCTTCATTCGACTTTTACTAATTAGACATCAAATAAGACCTAATTTCTTAGAGTTATAAGTTAAACATCTTTTAATTATTGGAGTAAGGCAAAAATTATTTGAATACAAAATTATATTGTCTATACAAACTTTACTAGATGGTAGGTCTCCTTTCTGCCTAGGACTCCGTCTGGGTAGGTATAACGCTCTTCGACGTCAAAGAACAGGTATTGCACTGCTGTGTTCCTGTCTGAAAAGTATAGTGGGCCTGTATAATTACTATTTTTACGTGGTAGAGCCATGCTGCAGCTATATTACTGGTATAGTTGTAGCACGAATGGGTCGGCTCGACTGGGGAAGGACCAAACTGTCACAGATTACCAGCGTAAAATAGCAGCTTAACGTTGCTCTGTTTCGTATGGTTAGTGTAGAGAACCGGAGACCATTTTTTACTGAAAACGAGGCATTCCATCTTAGTCCTCACGGTCGACAACGCATCTGCATTTTGATTTGCAAACGAGAATAGATGTAGATGTGTATGGGCCACAGCAACCACTTACTATCAGGTAGACTGTGGGCTCGGTTGTTAACCTTATCATATATAAAATAACAGGCTGTGAGTATTCCATCTTATTCGCCAGAGGTGACAATTCATCTGTAAACTTCTTTCTTTGAAGTGGGCTGCTTGTGGCCATGGGCTGCAGTATTCGTTCATCACCTCAGTTTTATGAAATAAAACCATAGAGCTTGAAAGGTTGAGTAAAATGTTGTATAAACAAATAACTTTTCTCTTACGCCAATTTTAATTTCGGATATCGTATACATGCCTATATAATATAATAGTTAAAAGATATCCTTAATAATATGATGTCGTGAATCCTATTTCTGTTACTCTATTAACTTTAAAACTGCGACGTCTCCCCCGTAACACTGACAGAAAATTATTTCTAATCATGCGATAATATAAATATTTGTAACAATGCTGACATTTTAATGAAACTATTACTACTATATATATATATGTTATAAACTACTCCATGTAAACATAAGAAAATATTACAAATCATAACAATACTGAAAAATCAATAACTACACAGAAATGGAGCTACCTTATCGAAAATCACGTACTGAAGAAGAGAGTGACGCAGCTTCGGAGGAAAGCAACGATGTACGTTCCAGTCTTCAGGGACCACTCCGTGAAGGTGGGAATCGTGTGGAGGATGCAGGTTTTCTTGGCGGAGGCGGCCCTTCTTCCAGCGATTCGCACCGCATCATTCCTTGTGGATTTTTCTTGATAACTGCGCTTGTTCATACAGTGTGTTAAACTTTATTCCTCAAAGCCATGTGCAAATTGAAGGCTTGGAATTTACTTTTGCATTATATTATACAGTTGAACTTTATATATCTTTATTTTTAAACATATTTTTTTACAAGTAATTGTGACTCATTGTTATGAACAAAGTATTTTTTTATTTTAAAAATAATGTCTGTCATAAAATAATGGACTTTGCAATTTGAAAAGACAAAATAAATAGAAAATATGCTAACATCTATGTAAATAATTATCACAGTCTTAGAAGGGTGTGTGGTTTAGCCAAGCCAGTTAAAGCAATTGGTGTTAATTTTCGTAATGTGAATGCAAAAAAAAACATTTAGAACGTGTAAAATATCTTGAGATGTGACATTTCTTCAGATTTATTGGACTGTGACTTTATAATAAAAAATTTAAACTTATCAATAAAAAGAAGTTACTGTGAAAGCTTACATGGATGTAATGTAGCTATAATTAACGTCTTTTATTTCGATCAGCTAAGAGCTGATAGATATTTTATAAATTGCTTATAGCATTTCTGTTATATTATTTAGTATCGTAAAAATATCTAAAAGAGTCATTTATGTATCATAATCTTCGTTATTTATTTTTCGTCGAATTTAATATGGTAACCTCTTGGTCGATCCGAGCTATTTGTATCGGAAAATTTATATTAATAGGACATTTCATATAAATTCTTAGATACTTGTGATCAAAGGGTTAATATATTTGCTACGACATTCTTAGTTTAATTTGTTAGTGAGGTATGCAACAATGTGTATATAATGTAGAAATACAGTCATATTAACGATAATGTTTGTTTCCATTCTCGTATTGTTGTTTATTCGTAAAGAGGTTTAAAATATTTCTAACATAAAATGCCCTTGTGTTTTACGTTATAAATAGAACTACTATAATCATAATAGTATAGCATATTATTGTAACTGTTAACGTTAAAATTGTTAAATTTATAAACTGTAATTGTAACCATTTTACGTAGTAATTACGTTTATCTATATGTATAGCATTGTATTAAATTATTTGGAGATTATTTTAGTTTGTAATAGTGATGAATATGTAATTTTCTTATATTGCCATTCTATATTCAATAACGGTCAAGTGATTCATATTATTGCCTGCCAAACCAATATATACAACATACATAAAATGTGTTTGTTTCTTTTTATACGCCTTTTAGAACTGCATGTAATACAGCGTTATACGCTAAACTAAATGGTTTAACTTCCTTAAAATATTTATGCATAAATGCCATTTAAGTTTTTACTTCTAATTTAACATTAAATAAAATTTAAAGTTGAAGTAAATAATGTAACATCATTTATGACATTTTAATTCTGAATAGTTTTCTGAGACTTTAAGTAAATATTCGCAAGTCAATGCTATGGCCCTTAGACACCTATTTCTATACTTGATTAAAATTCAAAATGTAGATGTGTTGTCACGCCTGGGGACCAAGATAAAAAAGTCTTCCTTTGTTCTTCGTGCTAAAGTGGGATTTTTGGTTCGCGTCACTCAACAAGCATACAGTTATTTTACGCTAGTTTTCTCAGACAGCCATATTACAGTTGCATTATGGCTTCATCGCGTGATAACTTAGAAACATTATCATTTGATTGCATTGATAAATTTCTAATAGTTAATAGGTTATAACAGTAATTAATAATCAACGCACTGTAGTTTTAATTCAAATCTTGACTAGTTTTATTAAATTCTAATTCACCCACCGGGACTTCGTATGTGGAATACACTATTGAATAATCTTATACCAGGAGATAGTTTTACTCATATTTCGAAAAAAAAATACTCCTTTGAGCACAATTGTAATAATGATAGTAAATATAACCACTATTTCACCAATACAAAATCGTAAAAAAGGGAGCAAACGTCGTTCGAGTTGGTCGACATCGCTATGATATTCTAAGCTATGTTCACAAGTTTCCAATTCTCTAGCTCATCGGGAAATTAGTTTAAAATTAATGACTAAATTGTACCTGAACAGAACGTAAGTAAGTTAGTTCATTCTGCGTAGATCGGACCAAAATTATTAATTAAACAAGCTGAAGGTACTCCGGTTTGACTCTGACATCGGGACGTCAATCACCTCAGTCCCCCGTGACCACGGTTGCTGGAAAGCAACCGAAACGTCGGGAATATAAAATAACTTAATTAAACGCGATAAAATCCGTAAAAGTAGTTTTATTCAATGTGTAGTGTTCGCGTAAATATAAGAAATCATTATGAAAGCGAGTTAATAAAAAAGTGGACACAAAAACTGCGGTTGCTTACCAGTTTGCAAAGCATGACGACTATGGAAATATATTTATAGATTACCACAGACTGGAATGTTCTTCGATAATAAGTTTATGACTTGGTAAATTTGAAATATACTTTTAACGTATTGATATTTAATACAAACTTAAAATTTTACTTTTTCACATAAATGCTCCATTTTATATTTGAAATAATTCAATTACGAATTTATGTAATGCTACACACTTAAATTTTTACTTAAGTTGTGTGTGGGAGAAGAGCCCGTAGCAATTTTAAAAGTTCAACATTCTGTGTTACCTCAGTTGGATATAAAACTTGCCAAGTTACAAATTCAATATCAAAGAACGTTAATTTTTTTTTTTACAATTAACTGAAGTACGTAGTACATTTCCATACCTATGATTTAAGCAACTGCTGCACTGCAAGTGACCTTGGTATCCGTTCAGATCTTGACTCTATTTTTGTTTTAAGTAAAAAAATATGACTTTCATATTCAATAACTCAATATAATACTTATCTAGATAAACTTGAAAAATATAACACTGTCCAAATACAAAATTTTATCCAAATCGCGAGAGCCGTTTCAGTAAATAACCGAACAATATATTCATTGTCAATCTGTATGGTAATAAGATCACGAACTGTTATTGCTAAAAGTTATACCATATAGGCAATCGAAGTGCACTGTGAAATAAAATTTGGTGGTATAATTCTTAGCATCATTTTACACTTAATTTGGGATTGTACTTGGATTAATTTGTTTATTTATATTTTAAATTACTTTATTACTTTAAAAGTTTATCACACTATAGAAGTAAAGATACTTGGCCAATAATAACTGGTTAAATGTAAGCCCTTGAATTAAAATACACAATTAGTATTCCTTCTCAAAAATATACAACGACAACAATTTTATGAATTTTATTTAAATAATTTTAATGAGAGCCGTGTAGTTCAGTCAATAAGCGCTCGACTTAAAATTTTATTGTACACGAACAAATAGATTTTGATTCCTACCAGCAACAATGAAATTGTTAGTTGCAAGTTGCGCCGATTTAAACCATCAAGATGAGTAAACATTGTGAAGAATTGAAAAACAGTGTCTGATTTTTGAGATTTGAATTTATAAGTGTTTCGTTTTGCTTATTTTTAGCAAAACACTAATAATTTATTTAAACCGAAATCTACGCAAGCGTAGCAGCGGAAAGAAGCTAGTCAATACATAAAACCATTACATACAATTATTTAACGTGGAGACAAAATATGATTACGAGTATGTCGTAGCCCTAACAATCCTCCGTTTCGACCCTCTTAATTGCTATCCAGATAGGACGTAACCACGTGCATTAGCAAAATTACCTGAGGCTCTATTATTTTCAGTGCGACAAACTTAGCTATGTTTCAAGTACGACAAAGGGAAATGAAGAGAAAATTAACAGTCTTTCGAATCTATTAAATGTAAACTTATCACGTTTTAATCAATTGAAATTAAATAAAAATTAAACGTTTCCGTATTCATGCTACTTCTTTTGTATCGTTTATATTATGTAACGATGTAAAAATTTGGCAGATACAATAAATTCCTGTTATATGATATTGTAAAGCATGAAAAAATGTAATCTATTCAACAAAAAGTGCAGGTTTTCAACGTAAACAATGTTTCTTCAAAATCTTTTTTTATTTAACTATACAGCGTTCCATATTTTTTCATTCAGCGGCGTGAATAATATTTCGAAATGAAAGTTGTATTTTCTAGTGGTATCATTGTTGCAGTTACGGTCGCGTAAAAACCCGCTCGCGCAGAGCGGGCTCCATTGTAATCTCATTATTTATGTACTGTTCAATGTTCCTGGTCCGAAGCCTACCAAATTACCAAATATGGATTAATACGCATACACTGCAGATATCACTGAAAACATCACAAACTAAATAAATTTGACATTATCATTATCCCATTGTACGTTTAATACTGCAGGTAAACTTCTGATGGGTGGCGCGGAGAACCATGCTTAAACTTAGATATTCCCTATTTACGAAAAAGCAAAAGAGATAAGTGCAGTTACATCATTTTGGTTTTCTGAATTTACAAAACCAAAACTTGAACATAGCCGGACGGTAAACACAAAATTGTCAATTGTGAGACATAGCTTTTATTTCACCAACTTCATTTGTTATCAAGTTATCTGATGTAAATAATTGAAAATTAAGTGCTCTGCGAAATTTTTAACACTATTTGATGGAATACCTATTTCGTAGCATCGTTGGATGTCTAATTACTAGGTAGATGTGGTCAAAAATCGTGCAAAAGTTTTTTTTGTTTTAGTTTTTTGGAACGGTACGAATTTGGCGGATGGGGATTATCTATCTATCTAGGTGAGAAAAAGTTTAAGATTTTTCCGTCACGACCCCTTCTGACGTAGTGTAGACGGTCTTGGCGACTACAAGGAAGCGAGATGGAATAATATCTATCGCCCTCGCACTATTTCTTACCTTGCCGTGAGAGAAATATCATTTTACTTTAAATGACGCTTCTTTTTAATAATTCATTTATTTGTATTTGTTAATCAATAATATAATACGTTTATCAATAATAATATATTACGAAAAGAACTTCGTTCCAACCGAGTTTTCCACGATACTCACGCAAGTTTTATGAATTTTCTTTAAACAAATATGGGAGCCGTGTAGCTCTCCGTGAGATTTCATCATGGCACGGGAGC